ATTGGCCGTAAAAAAAAGCAAATATTTTGTAATGCATATATATAATGGCAGAGTGTCTACTAAACTGAAAAACCTACGGTATTCATTTCTTTTTCTGTGTCTAGGTTATCAAAATAAAAATGGCCTCGTCATCTAATCCTTCTCCATATATAATTGCTTGGCTTGACGAGAATGTTGCTAAGCCAGACTGTTGCCAGCAGCTCAAGGAAGCTTTCACGACTACCATCAATCCAAATCATCGTTTACCGACCACCATTGGCCAACAGGATATATCGAATTTAATTCGTGATTCAGAAACGTCTCGACAGATAAGTTTTTATGAAGTTCCGTGTACCATCAATTTCTTTGATGATATGGACAAATGTTACAAGTTTCTGCTCGCATACGCAGGAAAGAAACGGATATTTTTCATGACATCGGGCAGACTTGGACAATACATCGTACCTAAACTTCTCACCAAAGATCCTCACGTATTCCACGATAAGAATGGAAAATTATATGAACCTGCTATTTACATCTTCTGTGCTGATATGGCTCAACATGCACAATGGGCTTATGATTTTTTGGAGCTCAACTGTATTGAAATGTATAAAGATGAGAAACTCATTTTATCGCATCTCACTCGAGATATTGCCAACTACTTATTATCCGAAGGTGAACAACTATTGGTCAAGAATCAAATCTCCTTGATCGAGACAGCTCATCAGTATTTTACTTGGGCTAGAAAACTTCACCTACAGGCCGAATCCGTATGGAAAGGAGGTCTTACTCCAGATCTATTGAGCAAAATCGACGAATTGATTGGCAAGGCAGGACAAAAAATTCAACAACTCAAAAGTTCGACAGATCCGAATGATGACGAGATGACATTGAGTGAAGAAAATTAATTAGTATTATTTTTGTTCGTAGAGAATAAAAATGATTGAAATTCGTAATTAAACACGACACTTCGAATCAATTTTCTTATGTACATTAAAAGATTTGATTTTTAATTGATTGGGTTTTTAAAATTCATGTTGATAATAACAAACCTGAAGGATTTTGAAACAAATTTTCAAGATTTTCTTGTCAGTCTATTGTCAAGATTTTGACTTTGATGCGTGACATTGACATCAACTTTCATTCTATAGTTACCAGTCGAGAAATGCTTGAATTCTATGGATAGAGAAGGCAAACGAAAAGAAAAAAGTAACCAAAAATTTAGTCCAAATGTATGGTAGTTATTGAAGAAAAAAAGAGAAAAAACAGAACAGCGTTGTAACGTACTTCCTCTATACTAAGTGCATAATTACTTGTGAAGAATGCGTCACACTGCTAGTTTTTTTTTGTTTATTTTCTCTTTTCATCTTGTGTATTTAGACTGCTTCTTTCACATATCGTGTATGCGTATGTGTTGTTGTGTTTATACATAACAATTGTTTGTCTATCAGGACTTCAAGAGTTTTACATTATTATTCTCAGGACGGATAATGCTGTATGTTTCTTTTCATGAATTACAAAGGTAACTTGAACGAGATCAAACTCTTTATTGTCCTTATCAAAATACTTCATAACAAATGCTGTCACATGATAAGTTGCACAATCAATGTGCAACTAATATAATTTCTACTTTCCCTTCGTAACTTATCAAATAATATTTAATTCATTTAGAGAGATGACGTCTGTTCTATTGGTAGTAATTGCTGAAAAGTCTACAATTCAAGCAGAAACAGTTAAATGAGCAAAAAACAAAGCAAAATTGTGGACGAGATTGAAGAGAAGAATGAAGATGTCTCTATTTTATCCAGTTCTAAAAAGCAAAAACTAGAAATGACCGTGGAAGAAGTAATGATATTGCATTTCTCGATGAGACAGAGCTTTATTCTCTCTCTTTAGTATGACAAGTTCTTGATGGAAACGAAAGAGGATCGATTCAAACGGACTGAACGATGGAGTGGAATGTATAAAAGAGTTGCACCTGAGTGTTGTGATCCTGTATTTGTACGCAACTAGACGCCTTCACCAATACAGTGCATGGCAGATGATTATCACTGTCCTTTCTGTGTACTTCATCATCGAAACAATATGAATTGGTTCACAGATGAGCGATTAAAACAGATAGCGAATGTTTCTAATACGTTCTATGTGTTTTCTCTGGTTGATCCAGGTATGAAAAGTAATGGAAAAATGAAAAGATCTTTGATTAAATTTGGTCGTACTCAGCATGTGGATGCCTTGAAAAGACATTCAACAGCCGTATTGAAACAATACTAAATGAAACTCATATTGAAATTACGTGAAAAATTAATCACAATGACTAGAATTGAAAACTGATGGAAAGAGCAAGCAGAAGAAAAAAAATGGTTCGTCAGATTTAGTAATCCAGAGTGTCATGGACAAAAAGAATGTATTCAAGTGGATGATAGTGAACTCGAACAATTGATTGCCAAATCAAAAGAAATTGCAGCTGTTGAAGAAGGAAGGGCATGGGTGTGAGTGTGGAGGGGGTGTGTGTGTGTGTGTGTGGATGTGGGTATGGGTATGGGTGTGGGTGTGGGGTGTGGGCGTGGATATGTTCTCATCACCTACACCCACACCCTTATTGCGTATCCAACATTTCTTTAATGATGTTGTTTTATTGCATTTGAACACATATTTAATGTGCACCAATAACAATTTTCCTTTATTAGATGTTAAAAAGGTAAGTGCAGGGTATGTTGTTACAAGTAAATACGAGAGTATTAAGAATGGCAATAGAGTATTTCTGAAGAAACAAAGATTT